GGGGGGGGGGGGGGGGGGGGGGGGGGAAGGGAAACATGCCTGACCGCAAGTGGAATTCCGTTTTTTGGCCCGGCGGCCATGGTTGTTCACCGTGAAACCCCGGCGGCTCTTTGTTCAGTGAATTCAGTTATGGAAGTGGAACAGGTGAGTCAGTGGAGAAAAATCAGTTATGAAAGGTAAGGATGAATTCCGGTATGGCTTCGGCGCCCCTTTCACGGGGATCACACCCAGCACCCAAGTGGGACGGCTGAGCGGTTCACACTCTGACATTGGTTTGCAGTTAACTCAGTTCCCACGTTGAGAAGGAAGGTGAGGGAACAGAAAGGCGCATGGGTCAGCGAGAACAGTATAGTTTAACAAAAGTTTCCCTTTAGTGCAACTAGACCTTGACTCAAAAATGCAGAACGGAAAGGCGATGGAGTCCGGAAAATTGCAGATGTTTCAACATTGTTTTCATATTGCATTAGCACTTTAGAGCTTGATTAAAAATAGATTGGAAAAACGCAGGTACGTTTTCACCCAGGTGGGGGGCGTCTTCATTGGCCGGAGACCCCCCGCCTGGCTCCGGCCCCCTGCTTGGAAACATCGGAACCCTTAGGTACAGGGGTGACACACACACACAGTGCGTCAGAAAGGGCGTTGGGGACCTCATCAAAATGCTTCGGAATGTGTGGGTAATTGACAGTGATGCTTGACAGAGAAGCCCAAAACATGAGGGGTATTCGTGATTTCGAGACACCACACAATCCCACACGCAGTTTGGGAGAGACGATTGTGACGGACCTTTCAATCTCTGACACTTCCCACATCGATCCGCATCAATGCCAGGGCGACTGTGCTGCATCCAGAACTTCCACGCCACAGACCGACGTGCAGAAGAGGTGTCCCGATAGTGGCTGTATGGATGCGGTAAGTCTCATTGGTGAGTTCGTGCACTGATCCTTAATGTGAGGGATTTAGGATGGTTTATGTATCATGTATGTTTGTTGCTCATCCAAGTTTCACAGGGAATGAAAGACTTGTTTTGTATACGTACATGATAACGGATGTCTTAGTCTTAGTTGTTGAGTCTTGTGCCATATAGAGTGTGTTTTACTCTCAATACAGTTGGTAAAGACAGACTTAACAAAGAATCTAAGCAGCGATATTAGTTGGAAACACCATCATCAATTACACATGTTCATATATTGTTTGTGCTCTATCCATTACATGTACCTTGTCACGGAGGCCGGGGAATTGGAGCGCCTGGAGCCACGGGCCTTGTGCGCTTTGAGCGGGGTGCCCCGTGGACTCGACTCTATGCGTGGAGCTTTTTGTTGGCTCACGTCGTTTTGATTTATACGATCCCAGACTGTGGTACTCCAATTTGATTCGTTCCATCCAGCATGGCTCAATGGCAAAACGGTGTCAAATGGATCGAAGCAGAGTCCATGTTAAACTTGTGGCAGACGACCCAACGCATGAACCAGCTTGTGAGGTCGAGAATCTTTAGAGACACGTTTGGAAAGTTTTGTTGCACCCGGGAAGATTAACATGGAACCTGAAAATTGATTTTTTGAAGATTAGCTTCCTCCAGAAACCAGTGATTTTCAGTGTTCATGTTGATCTTCCAGGGCGTAAGTGTTGTTTGATTTTGTCCATCCTATGCCCAGAGTTCAAAGTTTCAGATTACACCGAGTCCCTGTTCAGGAGTCCAATGAGAATCCTGCCTTTCAGACAGATGGCTTAATGCCAATAGGTTCCTACAGGTCCAAGACCTTATTTTACTGGAGTTGGTCATACACAAAGACTATACTCAATGAAGCAAAGAACCAGGCTTTACTTGGTCAGACTGGACTTAAGTCCTTGGTTGTTTACAAACTGCTTGTGGCATGAGAACCGACGTTTTGTACCGAGGCCGTGACCGAGTGGTGATCTCCGGGAGGAGGAGAAATCGATGCGCATGTATGCGCATGTGACCGATGTGCATTCGTTGTTGGTGAGTGTTCAGAGATCAGGGAAGGGTTGAACAAGAGGATCCAAGGATTAATTTGACGTTTTGTAGTATGTGTTGATTTCCTTTGTTTCCTCTACCCTAAGCAGCGATACACAACCATCATGGAATCATGGAACCGTGTGTGGCATTTGTCACCGCAGACCCGAACTGGGCCGGTCCGGCCCGATCCTGACGGGTTTTGTGCGGTCCAATGTAGACTCTGGAATTCCTAACCCCTCCCCATCTGGGATTGAACAAGCTTTTCAATATGAGGAGCTTCCCCGCTGCGCTGAAAACCGCTCACAAAGAAAGAAACCAAAGCTCTTCATATAGTGGGGGGGTTGTCAAGAGCCATCACGACAGGATTGTCGTCTTTGACCGCGATGCCAATGACCCGAAGATCACCTCGGATTGGCCCATCAATGACCTGGCGCGGTCGACAAACAGTGGGAACTCCGGGTGCGTGGGGGAGTAAGGCCACGGTGAGGCCGAGAACAGATCGGTGAAGGGTTCAACATCGTTACGATTTCGCAGGGCGTGGGGAAGTGCATGGGATATGGCCGAAGCTGTTTGCGTTTGTAAAGAGATTGGAGGCTACAGAGGGTCACCCCCACCTGACCAGGCTACCTGCTTTGCAGAAACGAAAGAACGATTCCTGGAATTCCTGACACTTAAGCCAATCGTAAAACAATTGTTGCGTGCGGTTGTCACCCAATGCTTCTTCGGTATGGCGTTCAGGCTTTCAACCACTGGCTGGGGGCTCAGTCTTGTGGAGCTTCACTTGTACGTCATGCTTCATGATTCTTTTTGGCTATGCCGAACACTGCGAGACCCATATACACCGTTGGTAATGCAATGAGTGGTTTCTAGGTCCTAGGTATCCCAATTGTCTAACCAAATCCTGCGGCCAGGAAAGGAAACCTACTTTCCAGCAAATCCCAAGTGGGATCTCGAACGAGCCAGTTCGGGGATAGTATGTATACTCTGAATGACAAGAACAAGGAAATTTGTGGTGTTGTCAGGTGTTGCAAAATCGAAGATGCCGTTCAACAGAATAAAACTTCGAGCAAGAGTGGGATGTTCACAACATTCCAAAACAAGTCTTCCGGCACAAGAGGTTCCGGTGGTTCTTTCGACTGATTGATGTTCCACCCCTGTGACGGGCAATATCCCAATATTGACATCATGTGTGTCATTGTTAAAAGCAACAACGTTCTTGTATTGTATTGACATTGCCCAATGTACGTTACTACATTCTACCAAGGAGACATGGTCAATCAGATGCTTTCCTTCAAGCCACGCCTAGTGGAGCACATTGGGTGCGCAGATTCCATCAGCACCACAAAGTCATGTTCTATTCAGAGTTATGCTAGACATTCTGGTTAAAATAGATGACTTTTTGATACAGCAATATGTGATTCAGAAAGAAGGTCACATGTCATATCATGTCGTTTGCAATTTCATCGGTGTGGTGTTGTTTTGAATTGTCGAATTCCAGTGCCAGCGTCCTCATGAATGTTTCAGGTTCCTTGCTTGGTGTCCATGTATGTCCTCGGCTGCTGAGGACGTTGGAGATTGTGACGCCCATCAAGAACGACCTCTACGTTTGGGACGTTGGATCCCAAAGCTCAAATGTGGACGTTGCATCTGACGTGGAGATGTGGCAATATGTAGAGGACAGGTGCAAGAGAGTTCATGAAATGACAACTGTTCAGTTCAGGAGCCCTGGAAAGAACATGGACTAGAGACCAGAGCATGTTGTTTATAGGGGGCATCCTTTTGTGCTGCATTGCCAAATAGTCATTATACTTAATTCTATATATGGATGTGTGGCCCAACACAAGCATGATTGTGTATTCACACCAACCAGTACAGATCAGTACAGTAGGATGTTTGGGAAGTGTCGGGAACTGTCCGCTCTTCAGACTGGGAGTCAGCGGAGTGGCCAGAAACGATCCAGAAACGATGGACTCCGATCACGAGAATGGCTTTCCCACATGGCTTGTCCATGTTGGCTTTCTCCTGAAACGAATCGCCTCACGGAGGGCAACGGGCTCTTTTTTGTCGGCTTTGACCTGGAAGTGTTTGCTCAACGAAGGGATGAGAACCGAATGAACATGATTGAACATTGAACTTGCCACCGCTCGAACTCAGAGGTGGAGGAGCGGGAATCCTATAGAGAAACGTAGTGACATTTCGAGGCCAAGAAGAGGCTTCAATGTCGACCCCCTTATTCAGGAATGTGTGCCAGTTCCCAAAACTGCTGCCATGGCTGCGCTTTGGACTTTGGACCAGAGTCTCGGACCCGCTGTTGCTCGGTGGGCTCACGAGACGAGGCGCTCACGGGGCTGCGCTTGCAGATCCATGACAATGTGATCGAGTCCAACATCACTGTCACGTGGACTGGGACGAGATGGTGGGATGAAAGGAGGATGCAGAGAAAAGAGGAAACCAAATCCAACATTAAAAACTGAATGGAGTCCCCTGACAGATTCCAGGTGAGAGAGAACCTTCATGAAGCTTCCCCATGTTTTAGGACACGGTCAGAAAAAGACGCTATAGACCTGACATCAATTACCTCCATGTTGTTTGGGTCCTTAGGACACCAAGTAATGGCTCCAGTTTTGCGGAGTTGAAGTTTCCGTGTCAATGACACAGTGGACATTGTAGGGAAGCCCCGACACGACCTGGGATCCTGAATATCATAAGCACGGTGCATTTTTATGTGTCCAAATCCAACACTGGACATGTTTGCCTTTGCCTTGGCTGTTGGGTGGCGAAGACCTGCAATACCACAAGACAAAAGGGAAGGCGATGTTTGGTGCGGAATTGGGAGCACGGCTTTCGCACGAGCCACGGCTTTCGTCCCTAAGTTCCACATGTATTCTCTGGCTGCTGATAGTCAAAGGATGGACTCCTCCATCATGATTCAGACACCCTTCAGGATCAACGATGATCAATGCTGTTCCAGGTTCACTGTTTTGTATGCACAAGTTGCAAGGCCGCCCCCCGCATAAGTATATAAAGCTAAACTGACTGTTGCCCACACTTTGTGAGCCAATCGTTATCGCCATCATAAGTATGTTCAATACCATCGCCAAGACCATCATCGAAATTGCTAAGTGAACCCAAATTCCGGTAACATATGATGAAATCATGCATACAACATCAACAAACAAAGCAACTGTTGATGATCATGATCTATGCATTTTCACTAAAGAAGGCTTCGTTCACAAGCCGATCTGGTCCAAAAGAAACACGGGACTTGAGACCCCATACCCCTCCATGTGAGGCTCCGGCCGGTACTTATCGGTTACTTAGGGTACGTACATTGAGCATCTGGGCCGTTCAGCCACCGGCTGAGGCCATCACCTTCGGTCTCAAGGAGCGTCGGATCTTCGTCGGCAGCGAGGATGGCAACATCAACTGTATCAACGCGGTGCGCACCGCCGTGGAAGGGAAGGATGTGCATGGGCAGATCAGGCAGTTTTCCAGTGGGGAGGGGCTGACACTTTGAGGGGGCGCGAAAGCACATCGAGCACATGTTGCTGCGTAAAAAGACATGACCTGCCCAGGAGACTTGTATCCGACTTGTATATACCCGCAGTTTGTCTTTGGTGACCCGCATGGGGTGGTCAAATCAAAGGACACCCAGAAATGTGCTAAGGATTCTTATGGATTCTTAATATGATTTCAGAAAGAGCGACTGATTCATGCATGTTGTTTCCCGATCTCACATTTGACCACTGTTCTGGGTGTTTGCATGATCTCACACATTTCACTTTTTCTTTGACTGCAACTGATGTTTTAACATCTTCCACACCCAACGTCCTCGCACGTGCCCCACGTTTTCTGTGCATATGCGGTGCTGTGCCGCGTCACGAAGCCAGGCTTGTGGTGCTAAGCTCAAAGTGCTCACGCCACACGCCTACGAGGTGGACATGGCAGTAGAGGATTAACATGATCAAGCCTTTCTCCTCAAAGCCTCAAATGAAAGTATAGCCGTTTTCCAAGATTCAGCTTGATGTCTTTTCAGAGCAACATGCCCCATTTCTTGCAGGAAAAGGGTCTTCCAAGGGGTCCATAGCATCACTTCGACGTGGACGTTGGTTCGAAGAATCTCGTGAAGCTGAAACCGCATGGATGTCCTGACCGCCGGTGGGGTTTGGGTTTTCCCGACACCATTCTCGGAGACTCACCCAGTTCCGAGAGGTTCCCCCCCAAATCTCGGGGTCAGTGAAAGACGGCATGTTTCTTTTCTGGTACTTCCCCCAACAGAGATAGAATTGAATTGGTTTCCCGTTTCCCAATAGCTTTCAAAATGGAGTGGATTCACATGGATAGAATGGGTCGATCTACTAGGGTGTTTGATTCATCACTGGTCGTTTGACAGGTGACGCAGATCGAGTGCATGCACGGGAAAGTGCTCACCCTCTCAGGGCCTGAGAAGGCGGGCCGGGAAGGCTGTAGCACAGAGGGGCTGTTGGACTGGTGATAGCCTAGTCGTAAAGAGTGATCTGTGGGGTGTCCACTGAACCAACTCCGGAAAACTGTCGGATTGGTCTCCTTTTTTGTAGATATGATGTGATGTGATATGTGTAATTATTACTTGTGCATTATATGCTGAAATATGGCAGCATTGATGCGTTTGTGTAGCCACCACACCACCACAACTGAATATGGATCGCTCCTCATCCAGCCATGATGCTACAGCGTTCTTTTTCAGCCTGGCTTGTTTCATTTGGCCGTGGCCCATCCATGTCACTGGTCAAGCCTGGAAAAAGTTGAAGCAATCATACCAGGACCCTCCAAGGGCTGTCTATTTCTAGCCCCTTAGCCGTTAAGGGGTGTCCATTAACCACCCCTTGAAGGCCCTGGTAGACAAGAAGCGAACTCAAGAATCCTCAAGAAAGACACGAGGCAACTCCCCGAACCAAATGGAGATGTCCCGGCTTCAGGTGATCAACGTGCACGATGCAGCTTGGATCAATTGGAATTTCAACACAGTTCCCTCTGGGAACGCACAGGCGGCCGCTTACATTTTGTTACATTTTGGGAGGTCCCCCCTCTACAATTTTGTTCCTGCATGTTTCTTTAAAGTACGATGCAATTTTGTAGGTCCCTAAATCTTTGACTATGCTGTGACATGGTCCGTGGCACTTGTATATCCTCGCAACTCAAGCAGGGCCGTACTTGTCACTTCGCGTGATACAACTGGGCATAGAATCAATGCAGCACTTGAAACTATTGTCAGGGTTTCTACGACAATCGTTGCAAACTAAAACTTTACTCACATGGGTCTAGTGAACACTTCAAAAGGAGCATAAATCAACTAGTCTTGCGGCAGACATTCATCAAAGCTGCACTGCTCTGGGAGATTTGTTGGGTACGTATACTTTACGCCAGAGTGAGGCGAGGACCAAGCCCACCGTTTTCCCATTCTGTATCGCCGTTGCAAACAAAGCTATTCCTTCCTCGACGGGATCAAAGAACATTTGGTATCTCAGAAACGACATTCCTTGACTCTTCGGGCATTGGTCAGTCAAAGGTCATGGCAGAGCCCTGGCCACCGGGTATGTGTAGCCTACAGATCTGACCGCCCTGAATGAAGGCCATCCTGAGCAAGCTTTATAAGGCCCCATTATTCAAGCCTATCCCGTTCAAACACCATTCAAAGACCATTCATTCAAATTTATTGGGCCTCAGTGATTTCCATTCAAGCCTACCTTCTCAGAAGTAAATGAACCCATGAGGCTTTGTGTTGTGCTTTTCGTGGCATCAGAGTCCTTGCTCCGGCGAGTCGCGACAGCGAGCATTGCGACAGGACACCGGGGAGAAGAAAGCTTTGCTCCTGAAGCGGATTGATGCCGGGGTGATTCAGTGAAACACTTGCGGACAAGTGGGCCATCATTCTTCCAACTACCTGTGTTAAGGTCCAAAACCTTAGCTGTAAAGGTCAAGACATAGGCTATGAGGCTCCAGTTGATAGGTCAGAGTCATTGGGTTCTCTTTCGTTTGGGCTCACATGCTCTGCCAAGCAGCATGGGGTCGAGGAACCCACTACAGGAGCCCATACTCGTCACTTCATTTGCTTGTGATTTGACTGGTTTTGACTTGTGCTCGTCGGATCAGATCCACAACGAGACAGCGTGCGTTTTGGGGAGCGGGGCAGAACTCGGTACCCAAACATGCTGGCTGACAAAGCACTGTGACTGTTGAGTTCTCATTTAACCTGAAAGTCGATCCCAGCTCGACCCTAGGACACTCTTGACACTCTCTTTGATATATAGGCATGTGCCACCATTTATATGCTTCATGATTCGTTATCGAGTTGCACATTGATTGCATTCAGAGAAGAGTTATGCGTGAGTTATGCGTTGGTTACATTTGCAGATGCGTCGCTTTAACCTATTGTTTGTTTGAGTCCACGCTGTTCAGAAACGTTTGTTGAGAAGCCTGTTTATTTAGACACCAGCATGATCGATCAAGGATGCTTGGGCCGAACCAAATACCAAAAGCCTCCTTCAATCCACCTCGGGTCTCCATTTCACGCGTCACTCTTCGAGTCTCCACCGAGCGGGCCTCATCGGTCGGCTCCCGGCTCAGTTGGGCGCCTCTGGACCCATTTTGAGGCCGGGCGGGGGGACCAGGACGGCGCCAGCGAGCACGGCTTTTTGGAGGTGTGAACTCCAAGAAGCCAAGAAGTCGGACTGTTTTTGATATACATTAAATGTACGGAGAGCAAATGCATGTCGTCCATTCACCAGAGAGTCTAGAAATGATGTCCCTTGAAGAAAGACAAGTGTGCCTGATAAGCCTGGTCATTAGTTGTCTTTCATATGTTGTTTCAGCTACTTCGTCCTGCAAACTCAGTAAATGCACCATCCAAGCATCAGTTTGAAGAGATGTTTTCCCTCCAATCTGTTCCGCGCGCCCCGTTCCAGACCCGGTCCTCTTCGGACGAGGTTCGCCACGGACTACCGGGAGATGATTGTCATCACCTCGGAGGACGGCGACGTGAGCTGGTACAGCACGGACTTTGCCAAGGGCATCGCTGACACGTCGCAGTGCTCCGTGAATCACTCCCAGGTGCACAGCGGAATCCGAACAAAGACCCGGTTGGGCATGAGAGGAAATTGTAGAATCTAGTAGACTTGCTGGGATGGATGAGCACTCCAAGACCAGTTGGATAGCTTTTGCGGGTTGCATTGCAGAGCTTGCTTGTTTTGCGCTTGTCTTGTGTGCGTTTTGGGAGAGAGAGAGAGGGAGCTGAGAAGAAACCCATCATGGACATTCACACAAAGCTTATATATATAATATATATATATATATTTATTGTATATATCCATCGGCGCCGCCTGAAGAGGCCGTTTATTGCTGCGAATATTTCAAGGAGGTTCCGCTCATTGTGACCACCGACACAGGCGGAGTCACTCTCTCTTTGCGCTTCTCTTTGCCGAGAATGGCCGTCGTTCGGATGGGAAGATCGGTCTTTTCAGGTCATAGATCATGACCAAGCAGGTGGTTGCTCAAAGAACCCGCGCTGAAAACATCTACGTAGCGAATGATGAAACGAGCCGTGCCAACGGGGGCCAACAGTTGGACATCCCTGTGCCGTCCGTCCATTGTCCGTCCTTGGAGTTTGGAAGTGAAGTTCTGAAAGAAAGCTGCCTGCCAGGACTGGTTGATCTTTTGAAGTTTTGGGAAGTATCGATGAAGCTTCACAATGTCTCATAGTACGTGTGTATATAAAACAATATATAATATCTATTATGGTACTATTATCGAATATATAAAAACCATGTACTTTTGGCAACACTCTCACTGTTTGAAGCATTCATGAGGAATGTGCGGCGTATCCCATGTTTGTATCCGTAGGAAGAGGAGCTTGGTCTCCAAAACCAACAAGACCGGCGATGTTCGTTTGCGAAAGGGTTCATTCTAAGGCCGAGCAGCCGCTGTCACGCTGCTGAGCACATGGATCCCCAAAACCACTGTGTTGTAGAGGAAACTTATCTTCCACAAGTGCCATTGGACTTGACATATCTTTGTCTGGGAAGTTATATATATATATGACAAACATGCAGGACATTCAGCTTGAAAGGGAC